AAGCTGCTGGGTAAAAACATCTGCACCAGCATGATCAATCTGCTGCCTCCCTCATAGGGGCTTCTTTTTATACGACAACAGGCTAGCTGTGCTAAAGAATGTCAAATAAAAGCCTTGTGAGAGCTTTGCCATACGCAGGCCAAATTAAATTAAGGGGCATAATCCTCACTATTGTACTTATCGGCATTAAAATGGAGGATTACCATCATGGGAACAAAGCCCCATGGCATAAAAGACTACTTCCATTCTGTCATTCACTGTACACAGTTACAGGCTTACACAGGAAGTAGAGCAGAGAAGCACCAGGCCAACCACTGACTTGGACTTGCAACATGAGGTTTCTTTCTCCCCAGCCAAGTGAGCTGCCCCACCATGTACCCATGGGAACACCATTCCCATGAGGCCAGAAGCTTTCTCCCAAGGTTCAGAGCTAGAATTTTCTCCACCAGTTACAGGCTGAGAGTTTGTTGCCCATCAGAATTTACTCCTTAGCTGGCTGTAATTCAAGATTTGTTGCAATGACAGTTATAGAGAACAGAAAATAAAAAAACCCCTGGGCTAGGCATTTGGAGCCTGGAGAGGCAGCAGAATGTACTGGCTAAAAACATGGGCTCTGGAATTACAGCTGTGTTCAAATCTTGACTCTGTCACTCTACTGACTAGGTAACACCAACAGCAAGTTCCTTGTTCTCTCTAAATGTCAGAAATTATATAATACGCACCTCTTTCACAGGATTATTATGAGGATTAAAAAGAATCATTCATGCGATATCCTTTAACACAGTGCCTAGGAAGTTGTTAATGAGTATCAAATATTAGTTGTTACTACTATTATTAGAGATAGGAAATCCAGACTCAAACCCTAGACCTGCCATTTATTCTCTGTGATAGTGAGTGAACCCCATGCTAACCAACTGGGGCAGAGGTAGGAAAATCTGATGCCTCCAACCCAGAGGTGGTCTCCAGTCCAGCATTTGGGAGCTAGTTGAGTAGTCGCCCCTGTGTTCAGCTGACTTACAGAGAACATCATCCAAAAGACTGGTGTGTGCATTCTGTGAGATACCTGTGAGGAAGCCTCGCCATTGCCATAAGTGTTGGGTGAATCAGAGCAATGTCCTCAATATGTCCTTGTCATTCTAGTCTTCCTGTGTTCAGCTGACTTATAGAGAACATCATCCAAAAGACTGGTGTGTGCATTCTGTGAGATAACTGGGGGGAAGCCTCGCCACTGCCATAAGTGTTGGGTGAATCAGAACAATGTCCTCAATATGTCCTTGTCATTCTAGTCTCACAGTGTTTCTTGTCACGTCTGGGTCTTCCTTATAAACTCTTCCTTCTGACTTTGCCTTCCCTCCATCATTCCCTGTACCTATCTGTTCCGTCACTACCTCTTTAGGATTCTTCTAGAACACTTTATTGGTTGCTTCTCTAATCCCTTTATTCTTTCTTACTTTCTTCTGCAGAAGCTGAAAATGCTCACCTTTCCAGCTTCCCTTGCTGGACTCCTCTCCCTTGCAGAGACACCTCTGCAAATTTCATCTGATAAGATATGAGAGGAGTGTCCTGGGGAGTTCTGGGAAAGGTCTCCCTCATGACCAATAGGGAGAGACTCCTGAGGATAGGCCTTCTACATCCATCTCTTCCTTCCTTCTTTGAACAAGACCATGTGAACAAGGGATCCTTAGCATCCTGCTTCAGCTACCTTGTGCCTCTAAGTGCTGATGTGCTGGGATAGCAGAGCAAAGTAATGGAAGGAGCTGTGTCCGCATATCTGAGTGGCCAGCCCAGCACTGGAACTTCTATCTTCAGACCTGTTACCCTGAGGGATCCTTGAATCTGCTGAGTTTTGTTACTTGCTGCTGGAAGCATCACCACTGGCATGACCCAGCTCTCTTCTCATTATGCCCCACCTGACCCCCTCAAGACTTCCTTCCTTTCAATCCCTGGGTTGATCCACAGGGCATTGAGGTGAACATCAAACACAGAGGGAAAAATGGGCTCTCACCTTTCCTAGGGCATGGATGACCTGAAACACTATCTGATGAATTATTCTGGATCCTGTTGTTGTGCTACCACCACTTAAAGATTGAGGAAGGAGAACATTCCTTTCATAAAAATATGAGTTCTGAAGAGTGGTCTTGGAAGTCAGCCTTACAAATTTACTGAGACCCATTGCATGTACTAGAAACAGGAAGAAGGAAAATTTGGCCTTTGCCCTTGAGAAGCTGAACTGCTGGCACATGGTCAACTACAACACCAGACAAAACATGGAGAGCCACAGAGAGTAATATACCAGAGTGGCTGGAGGACCCAGGCTGTCAATGTCACCACTCACAATGTCATGAAGAGTTTGGGTCAGAATGCAAATCAGTTCAATCCGTTACCAAGTCTCTGTTTTCGTTTGGCCGAGACTATATATGGGGGACGGGAAGCAAAACTTCCTTGAAGAAAGCAGTAGCTTGATGTACATTAGGACACAACCTCATTTTCTTATGATCCAGCCCTTTGAGTAGTACAGTCATAAATGGACCACGATGGTTCAAGGAGTGTTAAAGAGAATTAAGGACTCTGTCGAGAAGAGATATATGATGTTGTATCTTGATGAAACATATAAGAGCTGAACTGAAAGGAGAGGGCACAGAGAACAGAAGGAGGTGCACTGGTAGGAACAATATGAAGTCTGACTCCAGGAAGCCAGAGGGTGCACATAGGATCATACAGGAGCTGAGTCTAGAAGACAAACTGGAGTGAGATAGAGAGAGGCTTGCAAAAGCAGACTGAGGCGTCTGAACCTCTTTTGGCCTAAAACAGGAAGCCATTAAAGTTCTTTGAGAAGTCAGAATATGCTTTAAGACAATTGATCAGGTGTTAGCAATGAAAGCTGATCTGTAAAGAGGAGAGAGTGGAGAGAGACAGAGATAATGGTAGGTCTGGGCCAGGGAAGGATGCTAAAAAAGTGACTGGAGGTGGGGTTAAGTGAGATGTAGGGATCAAAAATGAGCACCAGGTTTGAAGACCAGGTCACAGGAGAATGTGTGTAGCACTCATGGAAGTGGCGAGGTCTGGTGAACTGGTGGAGGTCCTTTGGTGGGCTTTTCTGTTGAGGCTCTGGTGTGTAGATCAGGAATCTAGAGGCAGCAGGAGGTGGGTGTAGTAGGGTGGAGCTCAGAACAGAGACCTGAGAATCATGCTCTCTCAGCTGAGAGTTGGTACCAGAATAACACTAGTGAGAGAGGATATCACCCAGGGAGAGGTGAAGAAAGAAGACAGTCAAGGACTTGGAGAACTGCCTGTATTTCAAGGTGGGTGGAAGAGGAGCAGAATAAAGATGGAGGACATCTGGGAGAAAGAAGCTGAAGACCACAGTGCTGTAGAAACCATGGACAAGTGCAGTTCACGGAAAGCACGGCCCATGGCACCGAGTGTGGCACAACCTGATGAGCACAAGGCTCTCTTAAGAGCTAGGCTTCCCAAGGACTGTTTGAGGGATGCGGTGAGGGCACGGATGATTTCGGGTTTAGAGAGGTAGGGGTTGGTGAGGGAACGAGGCAACCGAGCTGGATGTCATTCTGAGGAAGTCTGAGGTGTAAAAGAAAGAAGAGGAAGGGACAGGGCCAAGGGGAAGACTTTTGTTAGATGGGGAGAGGAATCAGCAAATGGGGAAGAGGCAGCAGAGAGAGAAAGATGTGAAAGCCAGGGCTGGTCTGACTGATGGTGGCAGGACCTGGAGAGCAGGAACATCAGAGGTGAGCCAGGGAGAGCTCACCTGGGTGAATAAAAGGAAGAATGGACAGCTGACTAGAAGGAGCAGTTCTAAGGTGGAGGGAAGGGAAGTGGACATTGCTCACAGCACAGCCCTGATATTCTGAGTAAAGCTGGTCATCAGTGGAGGTGGACGGGAGTCAGGCTGGGGCTGGAGCCATTTCCCAAACTATATTCATTGACTTGCCCAAGATCAAAGGTCTGGAAAATGTTTAGCTTTAGGATCAGAACCCAAGTCTTCCACCTGCCAAGTTCAGTGGTCTCTCTGCTGAAAGACATTTTGAGCTTTGTTCAAAATATGAGAGTATCTCTCATATGAGATACTAGGCCAATAATATTTCATCAAGTACCCTGACATGAGCTATTCTGACTATTAAGTACAATCTGCCCTCCACTTCTATGGGTTTTGTGCAAATCCAAGGTTGCTTGAATCTGTGGTTGTGAAACCCATGGATATGCAGGGCAAACTATACCACAACACTCTATATGTAAGGGACCTGAGCAGCAGCAAAGTTTGGTATCTGTGGGGACTCCTGGAACCATTCCCTGTGGTTACTGAGAGACAATCACAAACTACTTTAAAGTCAGCTCAAGCATTTGAGACTTGCTAGAGAAGTACTGAGGATTTACTTTGTCAAGTTTCAAAATATTAATAAGATGTCTCAAAAAATTTTTAAAAGTTACAAATTAAGACCACCTCTTTTTCCAAAAAGATGCAATGAATTTTCTAATGGCCTGCTTATTTCCTCAAAATCCTGGAGTAAACTTTTAATGAAAATGATGTACCCTTTTTGCATTAGCTTAAGCCCATAGTTTTTTGTCCTTTTAGGCTAGTCGGGCGGGAGCTGCCTTGTGCACTGTAGACTGGGCAGCAGCTTCTCTGGCTTCGATCCACTAGATGTCCTTTGCACAAACCCCCTGTGAAGAGTTGTGGCAGCCAAATATGTCCTCAGAAGGAAAGTGGGAGGGGGCAGAACTGCCCCCATTTGAGAACCACTGTTTTAACCTACTGAGGCCAAGTACAGGTTTCACTATGAGGAGAACCCATAAGAGGGCTGTAACCAGATTGCCCTGTAGATCAAAGACTTTTGCCCACAGAGTAATGACTTCTGACATGGGGGATTCTGGTGGGCAACACTTTTTGGCTCCACTCTCTCCAATTCACCAGAATAACAACAGTGTAAGAAATACTTTTGTTTCATTGTCTGTTGGAATAAAATCTTACAGATAAGACTCACCAATTTTTCTCAGTGACAGGAGAGGTACTTGAAGTGTCTGCATGGCCATTGCTGGATTCTGCTTGTGGGCTGCTTTTATGATCGCCAGAGCCCCTCAGAACTAAGAGAAAACAAACAAGTGCTTAGAGACTGAGGATAAATTCAGAGGTAGGCAGGGTTTGATTTAACTAGCCATCTATTCTCTCTGCAGCACCTCGCTGCCTGTCCTTGTGCTGCTCCCTGACTTTTTGCAACCTTTGTCTAGGACACATCATCAAAACTGACTTGTTCTGTGATGACAGCCTTGCTTTGTCGTCAGTCCCAGCTGGCAAACTAGATAAAGTAACTCATCTTGTAGGAAAACAAGCCACCTGCCTATGACAATAAAGAGTGGACAGGTTGGAGGCCCCAAGGTGAGGAAGTTGGCGAGCAGCAGAACACATGAGCTGGAGTGGTGTGGTGCTAGACAGTCTTAGGAGTCCAGCTTCCAGTCCTGCTGGGCTGGGCAGAGCTGCCTGTGGATGAGGACAGTGGTCAAGAAATACCGTCACAACGTGTGGAAGTAAGTGAAAGTGTTAGTCACTCAGTTATGTCCGACCCTTTGCAACCCTACGGACTGTAGCCTGCCAGGCTCCTCTGTCCATGGGATTCTCCAGGCAACAATACTCAAGTGGGTATCCATTCCCTTCTCCAGGGGATCTTCCCAACCCAGGGACTAAACCCAAGCCTCCTGCACGGCAGGCAGATTCTCTACCATCTGAGACAACGTGGGTAGGATTACTACAACTAGGGATTCATTTCAGGAGGAACTCAGTTCTGTACTGTGGTTGAGGACAGCTCACTGACGAGTCTCTCAAGGGTGAGAGTGACAAGTACCATTCCTCCTTTTACGACCAGGGCAGCTGTGACTAACTAGCCATTGCCTTCTTCTCTTGAACTTTCATTTGACTTCAAGTTCCTGTCTAACACAATGTTTCATGTCAGTGGTTCTCAAGGTGTGGGCCCCACATTATCACAGCTAATCGAAAACACATCACAGAAAGCATCAACATCACCTAAAAACTTGTTAGAAAACAAAATTCTTGGGCCTCACCCTACTACGGACTGTAGCCTGCCAGGCTCCTCTGTCCATGGGATTCTCCAGGCAAGAATACTCAAGTGGGTATCCATTCCCTTCTCCAGGGCATCTTCCCAACCCAGGGACTAAACCCAAGCCTCCTGCACGGCAGGCAGATTCTCTACCATCTGAGACAATGTGGGTAGGATTACTACAACTAGGGATTCATTTCAGGAGGAACTCAGTTCTGTACTGTGGTTGAGGACAGCTCACTGACGAGTCTCTCAAGAGTGAGAGTGACAAGTGCAATTCCTCCTTTTATGACCAGGGCAGCTGTGACTAACTAGCCATTGCCTTCTTCTCTTGACCTTTCATTTGGCTTCAAGTTCCTAACACAATGTTTCATGTCAGTGGTTCTCAAGGTGTGAGCCCCACATTATCACAGCTAATCGAAAACACATCACAGAAAGCATCAACATCACCTAAAAACTTGTTAGAAAACAAAATTCTTGGGCCTCACCCTGACCTAAATGAATCAGAAAGTCTGGGGGTGGAGGCTGGCAATCTGTGTTTTTAACAAGCCCTTGAGGTAATCAGGATCTATGTTGAGGTCTGGAAGAACACTGCTCCAGATCAACAATTCTTAATCTTGACTGTACATTAGAATCACCCAGGAAGATTTTAAATATGCCTGAACCCAACTCCCAGAGATTCTGAAACTGGTCTGGTGTAGGGTTGGCATCATTTTTAAAAAGCTTCCTAGATAATTTTAAGGTGTGGCATAAAGTTCTCATAAAACTATGAGAACCATAGTTCCACATCGTTACCACCAATCCATTAGGGTCCGAAGGAGACTCTGTACCTATTTGCTGTCCTTATTTTAGATCATCTAGAAAGAGCCAAACCAAAATACAACCAATGAAGATAATCTACACATTTTTCAATTGTGACATAGTGTGGAAGGTGCATAAATTATTGAAGGTTTCTGTTATAATGACGGAAAATATAACATGATAAAAATGGAGTGCATTAAAAGAAATATGGAAATCAATTGTTTTTGTTTTGTCTAATCTATGAAGAGTATGCTCTGATTTTATATTATTCGTTTGGTTCCTTAGGCATATTTATCTCTTGTGTAGAAGAAATGTGATTTTTTTCATTATCAGTGGTAGATAAGACCATCTGTTGTTATTATTATTGCTATAAACACCAAAAGGATAAAAAGAAAACTTTATATGGAACATTATTACATTTTTATTATTACATACACACACTCACATGCAAATACACACTATGACCAAACAGTGAAACAACAATATTAAAGGAAGTGGGAAGCAGAATTCAAGAAAAATATCTGCAGCCTTTTAGAATTTCACGAACCAATCTCCTCTCCTCCCTTCCCTGCCTTCTCTTGATTGAACTCCTCCGGTTAGAGGACCAGGCAGGCTTCCCCCTCCTGGAGATTTTAAAACATTGTTTGACCCAAGCTCACTTGTAATACTGTGAGAAACAATACAAAAGTGAGAAATGATACAAAAAGAAAAAAAGAGAAGCCAACTTTAGGGACAAAAATATGTTTCCTTATTAAGAAGGAAAATCAACAAAAATCATTTTTAATCTTGTTCTCTGGCCCAATTCAGCAGCACCAACGGCTACCACTCACTGACCAAAGCCCAGATGGTCTTGTCCACATAGGAGGTTGACATTGTTGCTGTCTGCATCTATTTTGAGATCCTCAGTATGAAAAGGGGAAATAGCAGTTAAATAGCAATTCAGAGAGGAAGAAACACAAGCTAAGCTAGAAAGACCACTAACCCCATTTGGTTTGGGCTTTTCGTATGAAGGTGCTGTGTCCACCACCAGGAAGAGGGGAGGCAGTGACACCTTTATCTGACACTTAGCAAATGCCCCCAGTTACTCTGCCCAGGTTTCCAACAAAAACCCACAGAATTTCTGATCATGTAATTAAAGGGAAAACTCATTCATGCTTCTTATTCACTTGAACTTCAGTCATCAAAATATTGATTTTTGAGAGTTATTTGAAGTTTAAAAGCCAAATAGAAAGGTAAAGAATATTCTTATTAAAGATTAGACGAAGTCTGTTCCTTGTCCCTCAGCTTTGTCAGAAGAGCAGCAACAAGGATTTGAGTCAAAGAGATAAACTTAAATCAGAAATGTTGTACACTTGACACAAATATAATGTTGTAGGCCAATTATACCTCAACTTTTAAAGTTTCTTAAATGAATAAAAAGGGTTATCGAACCACTGAATTCAAAGAAAAATCCTAAATTGTCAAATACTTTTAAAAATATGTATTTGGCTGCACAGGGTCTTAGTTACATGTAGGATCTAGTTCCCTGACCAGGGATTGAACCTGGGCCCCCTGCATTGGGAGCACAGAGTCTTAGCTACTGGACCATCAGGGAAGTCCCTGTCAAATACTTTTAAGTATGTTCAGTGACAGCTGGGATAATTTGGCATCTCTCTGGCAAACTGTTAAACAAGGAGATTGGAGAAATGGAAATATGGAGAAAAAGGATAGCGTAAAACAGGGTTACTGATTCTAAGTGAACAGATCAAGCTAAAGGAACTAAACCAGTGACATGGCTGAGAAAACTAAATGATGCATTTCTATAGTAGAAATGTTCACAAAATATCAGACTTGAGCTATGTGCAGGTGTGACAACAGAGGCTCCTCCAGACATGGGTCTCCTGTCTCCAGGGAAGCATCCTGAAGTGTTCTGGTTAAATGAAATAAAGAGATACTGGGAGGGACTTCTCTGGGGAATCAAAGCCTTCCAGAGTCAGACTGAACTCTAGAGCTATTCATATTTCCCAGGAGAACTGAGGCAATTCTTCACATTTTGAAATAAAATGAAAGAGCATTTGACCATCAGGAGGAAAAAGAAAAAAAAAAAACATAGCAGGTGTTGCAAATTAAAAATGCCTTTGGGGTCATTCAGGTAACACAAATGAGGCTTGTGGAGAACCAGAGGATGTACAGCCGATTTGAAAACATTTGGGTTCAATGTTTTTTGTTTAAAAAAAAAAAAAAAGTTGGTCTGGCCAAACAAACCATACCTGTGTGTTGATTACAACAGGAAGACCTCCTATTTCTGACATCTGCTAGGGAGAACGGACCTAGACTGTAGGTCTGTAACATCTAGACAGCCTTCTTTTGAAATTGAAGTGTCTCCCTGTCTCACCTCCAAGCCTCCTCAAGTTCAAGAAACACTGGTGCTCCTGGGGCTCCCTTTCTTCCCTTTTTACCCTCTCCCTAACCTCCTTGCCCTGAGGTGAGGCTCCAGTTGTGCATTTTCTTGAAACCTAGGCTGGGTTGCAGATTCCAAAGAAGCTGGAAGCACCCAGACCTCACTGCTAGGCCTGGAGTTACACTGTACCTCCAAGCTCTATGTGAGATCCAGGGCAACTCAGCCTCACATTTCATACATGTGAGCATCAGCATTAAAAGGTCGTATTTTTAAAATCATAGCTGCTTCTTCAAGCAGAAGTTCAGGGACCTTCAAACTGAAAAAATGGAGGATTCTAATATCTTTTAAATGTTGGAAAACCATTGATCTAGTCCAATCTCTCATTATACAATGATGGTAATTAATGGAAGGCTTAGACTAGATACTCAAGTTTTAACTTCTTGTCCACAGTATTCTTCCCCTATGAATGTGCTCAATGTATCAGTGTCAGGATCATAGAAAGATATTCCTGAGAAGCTAAACTTTCATAAGGTCTTATGGTAAATAAGATAGAAACATGTCAGTGTATGCTCCAAGAGGATGGACTGAAGAGAGGCAGTTGGCAAGGAAAGCTGCCACTAGCCCATCTTCCCCAGTGACAGGTAACTGGGCACCCAGTCAGGTGCAGAGGGGTTGAGCCCCAGAGATAAGGGGCTTCCCTGCAAGGCTGCCCCTGAACTTAATCAGCTGTCACCTGTAGAAAAAAAAAAAGAGTGCCAGACAGAGGGATCACATCAGGTGATTGTTTCCAGCTCTGGAATCTTCTCTGGAGTGTCCATAAATATAGGACACCCATGCCAAACTTCTAATGACCTCACCTTTGTGGTCAGCAGGCTCACTGGAGAACTGAACCTGCACAGTTCCCCTGGGACCCCCTGTGATGGTGGGCTGTGGATCACTGCTTTGGTCTGAAGGGCACCCTGTGGAATGAAACAAAACAGCATCTTCTCAAGGTTATGCCTTCCACCTGGATGAATTACCAAAGTGGGGAATACAGCATGGCTAGGGAAATCCACATTTTTCTTATGGTTTGAGGCTCTGAGGTGATGAATCTCAGCCATGGATTTGGAGCTTATTTTGAAGAGTTAACACAGTGTGGTTGTGAAAGGGCACAAGTATAGGGGATAGGAGACTTAGTAACTCTCCTGGCTGGACGCACTACCAGCTTGGTGACATGGGGTAGGCTGGGTAACCTGTCTCATTAATCGCATTGGTCAGATAGGGAGTTGGGTGACCGAGGTCATGAGTGCACCAGGTGAGGGTTCCAGGTGTGACAACTGGACAGCATTTCCACTATGTTTCAGCAGTACCACCTGAGGAGAAAAAGAGGGATGGGGCCTCCTCTGTCTCTCCACATATCTATCCTGGGGCAGGCCTCTCTTATTCCTTTTGTCTTGCAGTCCTGTTTACTGACCTTTGTGGGTCCATGGTCAACTATGCTGTCATGGAAAAGGCAGACTACACACTATCTTCAGTGGAAGAACATCACCAGTGCAGTTTTTCATAGTCCAGTTAGCTTACTTCAGTAACTACAGTTAACTTAATGCAAGGAGATCCAACCAGCCCATCCTAAAGGAGATCAGTCCTAAAAGAGATCAGTTCTGGGTGTTCATTGGAAGGACTGATGTTGAAGCTGAAACTCCAATACTTTGGCCACCTGATGCGAAGAGCTGGCTCATTTGAAAAGACCCTGATGCTGGGAAAGATTGAGGGCAGGAGGAGAAGGGGACGACAGAGGATGAGACAATTGGATGGCATCACTGACTCAATGGACATGGGTTTGGGTAGACTCCGGCAATTGGTGATGGACAGGGAGGCTTGGCGTGCTGCGGTTCATGGGGTCACAAAGAGTCAGACATGACTGAGCGACTGAACTGAACTGAACTAGCTTACTTCACAGTGGTAAACATCTAAAGACTTCCCTACCAAGACCATTAATGGCTTGGGTGGGAAAGTGCTGCAGGGATGTTCCTGGCTGTCCCAGGTCTTCCATGCTCCACGACCCACAAGGTCACAATGGGTTGAAAATGTTCCTACATCTCAGACCACCTCCGGTATCTGGAGAAGCCAGGTTCTTTCCAACTAGACCCCTTGGCTTTAGAATCAACTGTCCTGCCCTCCTCTCCGCAGCAGGCTCCTCCCTGAGGTTTCAACCCTAACTCTGTCCTATCTCCTTCCTCCCTGGCCTGTGATCCAGAGGCTGCTTGCTCTCATCTTGCACCACTTCCTGACTCAGGCTGTTTCTAATTCTGCCAAAAGTGCTTCTAGACATACCATGCTAGGGTATTTGGACCTTCCTCCTCCTTCATCCTCAAATGTGTTTCTTTCTGTCCTGTCTCTCTCCCTCCTCCTGGATGGCTCTCCTCCCTCAAGCGTGGCCCTCCTGGCGGCACCGTGTCTCTCCATTCCTTGCAGGCAGCCCCATAAGTATTCTGTGCTCAGTAACGCAGGCCGCCGTGGACCACACTTAAGGAGGCACACAGAGTCCATGTCCTCATGCCGCTGGCATTCTGACACAGAGACTGAGCGTACAAAGAGACATTTATCCTGTACCTCAGAGTGTAACCTTCTTTGGAAATAGGGTGTATGCATATATAATTGGTTTAAAATACAGTCCCATTGGATTAAGGTGGGTCTTAAGCCCCATCATCAGTACGCCTATAAGATGGCCATGTTAAGACACAGGACATGTTAAGGCCATGTCAGGACACACTCTCTCGGGAGATCTGGGTTTGATCCCTGGGTCTGGGAGACCCCCTGGAGAAGGGATAGGCTGCCCACTCCAGTTTTCTTGGGCTTCCCTGGTGGCTCAGATGGTGAAGAATCCTCCTGCAATGTGGGAGACCTGGGTTCAGTCCCTGGGTTGGGAAGATCCCCTGGGTTGGGAAGATCCCCTGGAGAAGGGAATGGCTACCTATTGTCCTAAGCTCTTTACAAAAATTAATTCTTTTACCCCTACAGGAACTCTCAAAGGTACAGATCACTATCGTTTCCATTTTACAGCTAAGGAGACTGAGGCACAGGGAGCTTAAATGATTTTCCCAAGAAAGTCACACACAGCTGGAGGCTGGCAGAGTCAGGATTCAAACTCATGCAGTTTTGCCCTGAAGTCTGAATTCCTAAATATTACAGGGTGTAGCCCATTTATTTAAACATTTAAAAACCATTAACCCCCACTGTCTTAGTAATGGAAATAAAAATTCAGACTTTATTTCATTCACGTGCCTGGGCCTTTTAAGAGTCCCACAGCTCAGCTGCTGCAGGAGACGGCTCTGGCACTGCCTGGTGTTTGATGACCCACCTAGAGGACAGACACAGGCACTGCTTCCAGCAGGGACACTGCCTGGGTAGGTCTCCTGGCTGGTGAGCTACGCCTGGTGAGCTTTCCTGTCCTCACCATGGACCTGGCAGAGAGGGCGCTTACAGATGAGGTGCAGGGACCCAGGCTTCCCCTCTCACTACTGCTGGCCAGTGGAACGACAAGCCCATGCGGTTTCTGGCTGGAGTTACAGCTGGTCAGTAGCCATTTTACTAGAATTTAAAGAGGCCAACTTGTGGGAGGTCCAACAAGCAAATGCCACCAAAAGCAGCCCAAAGTCTAATTCTTTTCTTAAAGGACAGAATCTCATTGACACATTTTTTTTTTTTTACCTACAGCTGTATCACAAAGCCTGGCCTCTGCCTCTACCACACAAAACAAATCTAGTAATTTTAGGCCTTTGAGCATTTTCCACTTTGATTCTCCACTACTTAATTCCAAATTAATCAAACTTTGACAGAGTTCAAAGAAAGTCTCATCTGGTAACCACTTTCTCTAACTTGGAGGCTAAGGAGGGAGGCTTTCCTCTCCCCTGAAGATGAGCTTCCTGCCTGTCCTGTAGCATCACTGAGGAATTCCTATTCCCTTCAGGCATCTAAGGACAGTGGCTCTCCTGTCTCCTGACTCCCAGCAGCCTTAGGTTGGATTCACTTCTTATAATTTATGCCCTGCTTGCTTCCAAAAAGGATTGAGGCAGGGATGCTTCACAGATCATTCGCTCCTTGTGACTGTTAGTTGGACCTGGCTTAGTACTCCTTTCAAGCCTGTGGTAGGCCAGGTTTTATCTGAGACTGTCCCCCTCCCTTGCTAAAAAGTCTGTATTTTTAGAACAATTTTAGGTTCACAGCAAAATGAGGGGAAGGTACACAGATGTCCCATATACCCTTTGCCCCCACACATACTCAACCTCCCCAATTATCAACATCGCTTATCAACTGTACATTTGTTACAACTGATGAACCCACACTGACACATCATACTTACCCCAGATCCATAGTTTACATTACAGTTCATGCTTGATGCTATACATTTTATGAGTTTGGACATTATAATGACACATATTCATCATTATGGTACCATACAGGGTATTGTCAACGGCCCTAAAAATCCTCTGTGTTTTACCTATTTGTCCTTCCTCACAGCTCCTCACCCCTTGACAACTATTGATCTTTTTACTGTCTCCAAAGTTTTGCCTTCTCCAGAATGTCATATAGTTGCGATCACACAGTAAGTATTCTTTTCAGATTGGCTTCTTTCAGTTAGTAGAAAGCATTTGAGATTCCTTCATGTTCTTGTATGTTAGTCACTCAGTCGTGTCCGACTCTTTGTGACCCCATGGGGTGTAGCCCACCAGGCTCCTCTGTCCATGGAATTCTCCAGGCAAGAATACTGGAGGGGGTTGCCATTTCCCTCTCCAGCATCGTGTCTTTAATGGCTTGACAGCTCACTTCTTTTTAGCACTGAAGACGATTCCATTGTGTGGCTGTGTCATGGTTTATCCATTTACCTACAGAAGGACACCTCTGTTGCTTCCAAGACTTGGTAATTATAAATAAAGTTGTCTTAAACAAACATTCCTGTACAGGTTTTTGTGTGGACATAAATTTTCAGCTCCTTTGGGTAAATACTAAGGAGAATGACTACTGGATTACATAGTAAGAGTATGTTTAGTTTTAAGAGAAATTGCCACATTCTCTTCCAAAGTAACCACATCATTTGCATTCTCACCAGCAGTGACAGTTCGTATTGCTCCATATTCTCACCAGCATTTGGTGCTGTTAATGTTCCAGATTTTGGCTATTCTAATAGGTGAACAGTGGTATCTCGTTGATGTCTAAATTTTATTTCCCTGATGATATATGATGTAGAGTATCCAACTGTCTTCCCATCTTTTGAAGGAAAAAAATTCAGTATTTTTATGTAGTCTATATGACCACCCAAAGAGCATCCAGCAGAGTGTTCTGAATGAAAGGATGTTCAAAATACATTTTGAGGGAAGGACAGGAGATCAGGAGTTATGCAGTCTGAATTGCAGGGAGGTTTCTTAGCCACAATCTGTAAAATGAGGTAAAATCTCTAACCTCCTTCTCAGCATTACTATGATATTATAGGAATAAGGAAACTGGAAGTCCTTTGTGTGAATGTATGAATTGTAAATTGCTGTGCAAAAAGTATAAGATATTATAAAAATAAGTATTTCTATTGGTTAGTCAAGAAGGAAGCAACTCCTACTTCCAGTATCATTCTGGCTTCTTATAAAACAAAGTTATTTATTTTCCTCTAAATTTTTCTTAAAAAGACAAAGCTCCGAATATTTACAGTAGCTTTATTCATCATCACAGGAACTGGAAACAAATATCCTTTAGCTGGTAAAGGGACTTAATTGTGGCAGACTCGCAGATCAGAATTCTGCTCAGCAATGAAAAAGAACAAACTACTGATAATGCAGCAACACTGATGAATCTCCAAAGCATTAGGCTAAGTGAAAGAAGTCAGATTCAAATATCTACATACTATATGACTTCACTTACATGGTATTTTAGAAAACATAAAATTACAGGGACAAGAAAACCAGTAGTGTTCACCAGAAGCTGGGTTTGC